ACGCAATATCCCAGAATGTTACCATTTTCATACTCGCTACCATGAGAACCTGAAAACTCAAACCCTAGGTTATTATTCTGTAACGGGTAGTACTGGACTATGTAAGCTGGAATAGCCCACAGGGCTTGAAATGAAACAAAGCAGCATGAGTAATTCATTAACATATATAATAACACAGATTGAGGGCTTTTGAGAACAATGTGCTTAGAAGGGTATTTGGACCTAGGAGCGATGAAGTGTCGAGAGGTTGGATAAAAATGCGTGAAATGCTTCATAGTTTGTACTCCTCACCAGATTTTCATATGGCGATTAAATGTATCGTAATAAAATGGGCGTGGCATGTGCGGGAGAGGAGAAATGCTCACATAATTTGTATTGATAATCCTCAAGGAAAAAAGAGCACTCGGAAGACAATATTAAAACGGATCTTAGAAAAACAGGATTTTTTTCATCTGGCTCAGGATAGGGGCTGGTGGTGGGCTCTTATGAAAACGGTACTGTTTGGTTCTGAAGTAGTATTCTGCTCCATGTGGTCCTTTACTTAGTCAGTTAAACCGTCTTATCCTTCTCGTCTGCTCAACAATAAATATTTTGTTAAGACTTCCTCTCACTATATCATTTTCTCCTGGGTTCAAATAAGAGAAAACATCACATTAGCCTGGTACTGACGTGTAACTTTCAGAGGATTATGGTGATAACATGCAAAGACGTAATTAGTAGTACATTAAACTGTCATAGCATCCCGCAACAGTTTTCAGTCAACGGGATAGCTATATATAATATATTTTTCTCTATCGGCATGTCTGGGACACATATTCAGAGAACAGAAGTCAAGGTTCCTCTAATGATCAGTATAGAGTAGACTTCAGTTGTTTCTCACCGCAACATGGCAACCCACTCCGCAGGGCACCAGCCTGCCATTCAAACTGCTACCTATACGCGCACATACTCTTAGTGACTAATGACCTATTCTCAATCCACCGATAATTGACTCTATTGACTGAAACAAGTTAGCAATCAGCCCGTTGCCACAGAAACATCTAACCTAAGTAAGCCATGCTGTTTCCTTTTTGAACACTGAGGCCCTCTATAATCAGCGCAGGATCATAAAATACATTTCAAAATTAGATGATTACTATCAGATCATACCGTCATAGATAAATGCCAAGAGTTATATATGGCCAGATTGTAGGCCTACCAGATTGTGATTGTTGTTTGTAATCGTTCATAATCGTACTCACCGCCGTGAGAAGCTCAAATCCTACATTCCACAATTTGACGTAAACGGACCAACCAGCTAACTCCATGGAGAAGTGTTATTCTTTTGAAGCTAACAGTACGCTCAACCGGTCAAGAAATTCCCAGAACTTTCACGGACTCAAAGGTTCACCGGCGCGTTCGGAAAAGCCTGGCGCTGGGCCCTGTGAAGTTGTCAGCACCCCCCCCCCCTTTCAAACTGGGGCACCAACATTGTCGGTTGTCCGCGACTGCTTATTCAGTATATCTGCAGCTATCCACCATATCTGGTGACCTCATTCTTTGTCCTCCACAACCTGAGGCCGCGCCATGTTCTGGTAACAAGAGCTCCACGTCTGACACTTCACGGAAAACTAGAACCTTACTAGGATGCAGATGTAATTCTGATAGCTTAATTGAAAGGGCGGATTGCGCGTTATGCTACACTATCACTGAATAAATGTGAAATTAAAATCCGTTTCGCCAGAACAGGTTGAATCTATATGGCGGGAAATAATATTACTACAGAATTACGTTACACCAGAAAGTAGAAAAAAATCTGGAAATAAAATTACAACCATACAAAAAAGTGAATGGTATTATTGAGAGATAAATCTTTAAAAATGTCAGAAACGAAGAATAAGAATGGGCAACTTAACATTGCAACTAAAAGAACTTTATAAAATGGTAGTAACGCCTGGGTATTTTAAGGAAAAAGACCGAAAACAGGA